AGTGACAGTCCCCCCTCAAGGACCGCCTCCCCCGCCCCCCTGGCCTGGTGTCTCCCTGAGCCTGCGCTTCGCCTCTGCTTTAAGGCCTTCTTCCCCTTGAGATGGGTGGGACACTCCCCGTGCTCCCCCGGCCCGGGTCCCAGGGCCCCCGACGGGCTGGTGGGTTCACTGACTTCAGCAGCTGTTCTGCGAAGCACCTGCCATGTGCCGGGCGCTGCTCCAGACATCGAAGGTGCAGCAGCGGCGCAGGTGGACAGGTCCCTGCCCTCACTGGGGAGGTGGGCAGCCAACCAGTAAGCACTATGGTACTAGTGGACGGCTAGGCCACTGCTGCCCAGCTCCCAGAAGCAAGCCGGTGTCTGAGTGTCCCACAGATGCTGGAACAAATGTCCACAAACTGGGTGGCTTACGACAGAAATCCGCACCGGTTCTGGGGGCCAGAAGTTAATGCTGGCAGGGCTGTGCTCCCTCTGGAGGCTCCCGGGGATGGCCTCCTGGATGGCCGCCTCTTAAGATCCTTCATTATATCTACAAGGACTCTTTATCTCAATGCGGCCACATTCACAGTTTCGGGGCTTAGGTTGTGGACATGTACTGGGGGCCACCATTCAACCTGCTGCTCTGGAGAAAGCCCTTGTGCTCATCGAGGGGCGTGGCACCGAGCGAGTTCCCCTCTCCTCCTCCTCCCTGCGTGACCTGCTCCTTTCTTCACCTTCCTGGTTGCCAAACTTAGTTGCCAGGGTGTGACCAAAGGTTAAAGGAAAGCTCATCAGACAGGGGGAGAACAATTAGATGGAAAACAGCACATGAATAATTCATGCAGCTTTGCAGGGGGAGGAGGGGTGAGGGGCTTGTAGATGAGTCCAGTTACACTCGTTCCCAGGCCAGTTTGCCTTGAACCTCATAAAGCTCCACCATGTACAAGTGGGATTTATGCAGCTGACCATGAAACGGGGGAGAGGCCACCCGGGGGTCAGGTCTCCAAATGAAAGTGTGCTCCGGGATCATGCCCAAACCCTCATTTTGCAAATGGGGGATACTGAGTCTTGAGGAACGGGAATGACGTTTGCACGCAATACTGAGCATTCCACAGAGAGTGAACACCACGTGCTCAGCCTAGGGCCCCCAGCTTCTCGCCCAGGACGGGTCCTGCCAAAGTCAAAGCCACCATGTATGGTCCCAGTTGGACCAAATATCTCCCGGTCCATGTGCACAAGGCCACATGGGTGTGAGTCTAGGAGGTGTGTTTGCAGCATCGGTGTGGGGTGCAATTATCACACTATGGAGTCTTCTGAACCTGCCTCCCTTGTGAGTAGTCTGCCTTCAGGCCCGGCTTTATGATGTGATGAAGGGAATTTGACAGGGACAGGCCCCCTCTGTACCCACCTGCACCCACGAGGAGCCAGGTAGCAGGTGCAGGGCTGGTCCTGTAGTGAGCTGAGCAGGAGGTCTTAGAGAGGCCGCCGTGGGAAGAGGCTGGGTGGCTGTGCCCTGAAGGATACAGTGCTGTCCCGCGGGGCGCGGGCATGGCTCTGCACCCTGGGATTCAGAGGTGCGAGACTGCCTGCTCCGCCTCAGGGAGCCCTTGCCCTGCAGGGGCCCCAGCACATTGGCTGTGACTGTGGTTGTGTCTTCCTCCACTGGGGTCCCGTGGAAGTGTTACCCATCCATCTTTCCCCAGCACCCCCTGTATCTAGAGTCCTTTGTTTGAAACAGCAAGAGATTTCCTGAGTGATGCTTGAGCTGTAAGAACTGTGGTCCTGGGCTGTCAGCGGGACCCTGGTATGGGAGGCTCTGTCTCCCGAGCCCACACACAGGATTCTCAGTCCATGTGCCACGCCCTTGGCCCCTCTGTGTCACCAGTTCGGGCCTGCTCGCTGCAGAGGGCTGCAGACGTCACTGACCCCCGTGGACTTCTAAAAGCTGTCACGCCTCGTACGTATTTCTAATGAGTGTTGTCATGAGGCGGTCGGGAGGGGTTAAGCATGATGGGGTCGCAGGAAGCGTGCACTCTGGACTCCAGCAAAGAGGCCACACCCCATTCGCTTGGCCTTGGGGCCCTCGTGGGTCTGGGAGCAGCATGTGGGGGCCGGGGGAGGAGGCTTCTGAGCCCCCACCCGCACTGCGCTCCCTTCCCGAACACCAGTGTGCACAGCTTCCCAGGCTTCCCCTCTTGGTGAACAGATTTTCATGAGCATCAGCCTCCGTCTCCACGGGCCAGACGCTGAGTAAATGTGGGCGGCCAGTGACTGAGCTCCTGCCCGAGACTCACGACGAACGACAGAAACAGAACAACGGTTGTGGTTGGGTGTGTACGAGTTTTGGTCTTGGAGGCAGAGCGATCGGGGCTCATACGTCACACCTCTGATCCTTCTCTGTTGAGCTGCGTTCTAGAACATCCCGATGTGAGACGGTGAAGAGGGTTTGGACGCTGAGTGGGTCGGGAGGGTAAGTTATGGGCAGAAACAGAGGATTGGAAGGTCTGAGGCTTGAAACAGCCCAGGGGGACCTGAGGCACGGGTCCCACAGCAGAGGGGAAGGTGTCACGGCGCACCACGTGCTGGCTCTCAAAGCTTCAGCCTGGGAATGACGCGCGGTGCCTGTCACTTCTGCCCTCCCTTCGGAAACAGCAGTAAGGGCGCGGTTGCCCTGAATTCCGTGGGGCCCGTGGGCAGGTCCCCCCACCTCTCCCGGAAGGGAAGCCGGAGTTTCCACCTCATCCCACGGAGTCCCGGTCACCTCGGAGTTGTAGCCCGACGAAACACGGTGTAAACCCGTGTCCCCTAATACATGGCACGCCGGTCTCCAAGCCGCCCTGTGTTCCCTGAGGCCTGGGCCCTTCTGTGTCCCCCAGGCTTCCTTGGGCTTCGTGGCTCGAGTTCTGCAGAGAGGATTTAGTTCCCCTGGTGCAGAGCATCAAACGGGTGCTGTGCTCCTGTGCGTGGCATTTCATAAACGGCCGCACGCTTTCCCCGGACACCAATTTAAGTTGAGGGAGAAGTGGAAGGGTTCCCAAGCAGGCGTCTGTAGGTGCTTAGCCCCTGAAGGACGGGGATGGAATTAGCAGCACAGAAGTCTTGGCTTTTTCTCTCTTACTGTTCAGTCTCATTTTTCAAGATTTAATCTCTGCTTCTTATCGTCCCAGAAAACCGCAGTTTCCTGGGAAACCAGCTCAGGCTCCTTCTTCCTCCTCTCTATATTTTTATGTGATTCTAAGTTTCTGGTTAAGGAGGTGCTTCCAGAAGCAATATTTGAGCATGAGCGCACAGACCCTCCTTGGTGCCCCTGGTCACTCAGAGTCAACATTTTCTTTTTAAAGATTTTGTTTATTTCTTGACAGAGAGAGAGAAACAGAGTACAAGCAGGGGGAGCTGCGGGCAGAGGCAGAGGGAGAAGCAGGCTTCCCGCCGAGCAGGGAGCCTGATGCGGGGCTCGATCCCAGGACCCTGGGATCACGACCTGAGCCGAAGGCAGACGCTTAACGACTGAGCCAGCCAGGCCCCCAGATTCAACATTTTTTTGTGACGTTTTATAAACTCTCCTGTTTACAAAAGTCACAAAATGCCCCTTTATTGAGGCGGTGGTGGGAGGGGGAGGAAGGACTGATGGCAGGCGAGGCTCAGAGTTTCAATCAATATTTTCCAGATAACAAAAAGCAGTAATGTCCCTGATAGTCACTGAGCTCTGCGGTGTGTCAAGCAGTGAAGAAGGGCCTTGGCCTCTCCTAGTTTTCACAGCAAGACTGTGTTAGTACTGTTGACCCATTTTACAGATGAGGAAACAGAGGCACGAAGAGCTAGGGAACTTCCCCTCGATTGCACGGGCAAGAGGTGATAGAGATGGGATTCAAAGCCCAGACTCTGACTCCAGGACCCCCACACAGATGCAGAGGGAGGAGAGGGTATTTCAGCCAGAGGGGTAGGTTGGGCAGAGCCTCACACAGGGCCAGGGAGACCAGAGGCCAGGGTGTCGCTGTCAGAGAGGAAAGCGCCTTTAGGGCCCAGCGACTAGTTGGATCTGAAGCTGGAGAGGTAGAGAGGGGCTATGGCAGGCTTTGAATGCTACACCAAGGGGTTCGGATTTGCTGCTTTAGGCTACAAGCAATGGAATGGAACGCAGACTTACTACTTGCTGCTGAGCCATCCTGGACAAGTTGCTTACCCTCTCTGGGCTCTAGAGTATCTGTCAGGGATATTTTCTTTGCAAGCAACAGAATTCTTGATCTTAAACAGAAAATGGATTTATTGGCTCCCATGTTTAATCGTCCAAGGCTCATGGCTTCCATCCTGATTCGGGATTCAAAAGGCATTGCTGGGTCTCTCCCTCCGGTCTGGCCTACCCGCAAGCTCCGGGTTTCCCTTGTCCCAGCAGCACGTACACACCCCTCCTTTGCACCCCACCCAGGCCAGCAGAGAGGTCAGAGCTGCCCCCAGCACGCCCCGCGTCTCAAGCCTGGAGTCCCTCTGCTGGTACCTCAGAGGCCACGTGCCCCTTGCTCATGGTGATTGTGACTGAGTGGAAGGCACAGATGAGAGCGGAGAACCCAGAAAGGCAGAGAACCTTTTCCCCAAAGGAGAATCTTGATGCTGTGGACAGAAGGGGAGTGGGTGCCGGGGTGGGGCTCCCCGCACACTCAGCTCCGGGCACAACTCACGGACTGACTGAAATTGTTCACCAAGAGTCCAGCATGTACTAGGCACTCAAACGCTCCTTGCCTTCTGCTTGGCACCTGGTATGGGGGGTGGAGGGGAGGCTGGGCAGCTGGTGGGTGCTGGCTGGGGAGAGGGCATAGGTTGGGGTGGGGAGGCTGCAGGGACAGTGGACGGCACCCAGACGGGGCAACCAGCGGGTGGCTGGACATGCCGGTCTGTAGCTCAGAGACCATCTGGGGCTTTGTCCAGGGGTCTCGGGGATGGAGATGCAGCTCAGATGCAGGGTAGGTGGGAAGGCAGAGCAGCGAGGGTGTCCTCCCTTCTCTGCCCTTTCCTTGACGGGGCCAGACATCGTGGACATCAAGCCGGCCAATATGGAGGACCTCACGGAGGTGATCACGGCGTCAGAGTTTCACCCCCACCATTGCAACCTCTTTGTCTACAGCAGTAGCAAGGGCTCCCTGCGACTCTGCGACATGCGTGCAGCCGCCCTGTGTGACAAGCACTCCAAACGTAAGTGTCCACGCCAGCCGGGACCCGGCGCAGAGTGGGGACGGCAGGGCAGCGCCCGTCCCGGTGCTGGTGCCCTGGGGCGGGTGGGAGTGGTGCAGGCATGTGCTTTACCGGCTGGGGCAGGGGAAGCTGGTCTGGCCACCCACTGTCCCCCAGGTCCCCAGACAGATACTGCCCAGCTTCCGGGGACCAGACAGCTAAAAGAAGGGTCAGGGAGCCAGAAGCTAAGGAGGGGGCTTCCTCCTTAGCAGTCACTTCCTCCAGGAAGCCTTCCCTGATCCCCACATTGGTTCAAGCCCCTTCTCTGTGCCCCTCTCTCAGACTGGCTGCACCATGAAGAACTTTCTATAGGTTGGGGTATCTCCCCCAGCAGCCTGTGAACTCCACGAGGTCACTTCCTCCTGCTGGAACCCGCCAAAGGGCCAGCCAGGGAGGGGGATGCCTGAACGAGGTCCAGGGAACACGATAAGACAACCCCCGTGACCACACAACAGCTCCCACTCACTGGATGTGCTGAGCCAGTCACCCAGACAGCTCTCACCCACATCATCTCCTCCTCACACGAGCTCTGACGGAGTCCTGAACGGAATAGGAAACCGAGGCTCCAGGGTCCAAGGTCACCCAAAGTGACAAGTGGCGAGGCAGAACTTGAACCCAGGACTCTGGGATGCCCCGGTTGGGGCTCTCACCTCCAGGCCGGGCTGCTTGGTGCTGGGTTCCCCAGAGGCCCCCGAAGGCAGAGGATCAGGAGGTCAGGCCGTGGTGTCCTCCCTGGGTGACCTTGCAGTGGCAAGAGGGTGGGGACTTTGGTTCATCTCTGTATCTACCCCAGTACCTACGACGGTGTCTGGAAATAAGCACTTGTTGAGTGATTGAATGAATTAATGACCAGTAGGTCCCTGGAGGCGGTTTTATCGAGGCCTGTTGGGAGGGACAGCATCACTCTTTTCCCCTGGGGGGCCTGGTTTCCCTGGGCAGTCCAGGAGGGTGGCTGTCAGCCGGCTCGCAGGGACTCGGGCTCAGGACCCTCTGCGGCTGCCAACCCCTCCCCACTCCTTGGCCAAGTCCGGTCCCCCTACGTCTCCCCACACGGCTCTTCTCCGGGCAAGCCCACGCTCTGCAGTCCCTCTCCGGGGCTTCCTCACCAGCTTCCTCACAGGGAACCACGTCCCTTTTCTGGGTTTGCACGTGCTCCAGCAGCTGTCGCCTGTCCCTGAGCCCAGACCTCTCCCACGGGAATGCCTTTGTCCCCAGCACTGAGCCCTCCTCCTCCTGAGGGCTGAGTGGCCAGCACTGAGGGTGGCGAGAGCAGATCTCCCTCTGAGCAGAGCCGAGCCCCCATCTGCTATGCTCCAGACACTTCCTGCCATGGTGGGTGCAGCAGGAACTAGCAGACAGACGATGAACTCCTCACTGGGTCATGTGATGTCAGGAGGTGGTGACAGATAGCAACAACAGCCACCAAGGAGCGGGGCGCAGGGAGAGTCCTCTCCCTGGAGAAGTTACAATGGAACAGACACCCTGGGCACCGTTGAGCCATGCAGTCTCTGGGGGGAAGAATGTTCTAGAAGGGGGACACTGCAGGCTCTGAGATGGGACCTGAGATGCAGTGACCAAAGGGAAGGATGCTGGGAGCTGAGGTCAGAGAGACACACAAGGCAAATAAGTGACTTAGGGCGCCCGTAGGTCCCGGGAAGGATCCGGTTTTATTCTAAGTGAGGTGGGAAAACAGCAGGGGGCTGAGGGCAGGGCATGATGTCACGAGACAGGTGTTTGGAAAGAAGAGACTGCAGAGGGGTCAACGTAAGCAGGGGTGGGAGGAGCCCCTGCCAGGGTTCTCACTGAGAAGAAACAGTGCAGCCTGGGTGGGATGGCTAAGGTGGGGAGACAGGCCCCATTCCGGGTGTTCTTTGAAGGCTGAGCTGGTAGCCTTTGGCAAGTGGAGTGTGGACCATGATGACTCTGAGGTTTGGTTTGCGAGGTGGGTGAAGGTGGGGTCCTGTCCTGGGACGGACAACGGGCATGCTGGGAGCGGGGCAGCCAGGAGCAGAGGTGGGGCCAGCAGGCTGGTGTTGGACACGGTACGTGTGAGATGGTGTTGGGCTCCAGGGAGGGCTGTCAAGAAGGCCGCCGGATGCCTGGAGTCAGGGGCGGGGTCCTGGCTGGGGATAAAGCGTGGAGTTGTCGCCAGTGTCTGAATGGACAGCAAGCCCAGGTGTGCGTGTGGACGGCGCCCAGCCCCCTAAGAGAAGCCCGGGGCCGTATCGAGGTCTCAGGGCTGCCCAGACAGATGACCACAGACTTAGTGGCTTAACACGACACCGATTTTTTTTCTTTTACAGTTTTGCAGTTCGGAAGTCTGACATGGGTCTTACCCAACAAAAATCAAGGTGTCGACAGGGCTGGTTCCTTCTGGAGGCTGTAGGGGGCAATCCATGCCTCCCCACTTCTACAGCCTCTGGGGGCGCCTGCCATGCCTGGTTCCCTGCCCCTCCCTCCATCTGCACAGCCAGCCCTGGCTGTAGGCTTTCTCACGCTGCATCACGCTCACTCAGTCTCTCCTGCCTCCGCTTTCCCTTTTAAGGACCCTGGGGATCCCATTGGGCCCACCTGGATAATTTAGCTGATCGGCAATCTTAGTTTCCCCTTTGCCATGGAACGTAACATATTCCCAGGTGCTGCGGATTAGGGTACAGACAGCTCTGGGGGTCATTGTTCTGTGGCTCAGGCCACAGGTGGCCTGGAGATTTGTCTGTGTGCAGCTCTGGGTCAGACTGGCACGGAACGAGGTTGGGGAAGAGTCTGGGCTGCACTCCTGGACCCAGTCTGAGCCCATGCAAGCCCCATGGGAAGGAAGTAGGATGAGACTTCATGGCCCAGCTTTTTTTATATAAAGTGACCAAATTCAGAAACACTCTAGACGTCCAACAGAGCAAATGACAAGGGAATGATGATGCCATCTGTATACTGCAGTGTTGTTTAGTCATTTAGAATGTTGATTTAGAAGATTTTTAATGACACGAGGAAGTGATTATGTTAAAATATCTGGTGGGGGTAAGAAAGCAAGGCAATGACTATTCTCCAAAAAAAAAAAAAAAATGGAAATAGAAAACAGGGGAAAGAAATATGCCAAGAAATAGTCCCTGAGCGGTGGGCTCTGGAAAGTGATACCGTGTTCTTCTCTACATCTGTCTGCATATTTGCATTTTAGCTCAGATTTCAACTCTGAATCAGGAAACAGGTGTGTGTGTGTGCAGGAAGGGCTGGTGGTATCTGGGGAAGAGAGAGACAGCCTTGTGCACCCCACACTGTTATGACGTTTCTTGGCGGGCTGGAGGTGGAAGTCAGTCCTTCTTGGCTTTTGTCATCCGGTTCCCTAGGAGTCTGAGTGAGCGGCCACCCACAAGGCCAGCCATCACTTCCCAAGTGTAGCACACACTCGAAGATTCTGGGCCGTAGCTGTCACACGCCTGGGGGGGGGGTGGGGGGGGGGGGGGGGTGTCTGCTGCATGTGAATCAGCCCACAAACTCCAGAGTGCAAGAACTTGAACTTCATTTTGGATGACTCAACTCCATTTGTGTTTCTCGCCTCCTCTCCCAGGGCTGCCGGGAACATAACAACTTCAGGGTTGCCCAGAGATCACGCGGAGGTTCCAGAAGGCTTTTGCAGGGCCCAGGCATGAAGGGAGGGTCACCGTGGCCTCTGACCACCATGATCTTTTGCTGTGCCTGGGTGCCCCGGGGCCAGGGCTCTTGCTGAGACACTTTTGCATAAATGCAAAAATTCTGCTTTTTGCATAATCATTCATAGGTGAAATTGGAAATTGGTCTTCAACTGTCTTTTTTTATGCTCTCTTTGCCCAGTTATATTTGGATTCTTCTACTCTTGGAAGACGAGCTGGGCCACTGTCTTTGCCTGGAATGGTTAGTTTAAATCTCTAACTTGAAGTCTTAGAGAAACTCGTAGATCTATTTTGGTGGTTGGTTTGTATAGGTTTGCTATTGGAATAGATGGTGTATTTTCAATTTTTCCGTTCTCAAACCCAGTATCATGCACAGGAAGCTCTCCTTTAATGCCCGTAAGGGGATCGTTCACAGTCTCTTTACACCAAGTGTGCTTCGCTGCTTATTCTCCTGCTCTCGTGTCGTCGTGAGTGAGCGGATGGAGTGTCTGCTTCACCAGGATCGGATCCTGCTAGCTCGTAGCCCTCCTGAGGACTCAGGCGGGCGGCCGGCAGCCAGTTAGCGGGACGCTGGTGAGGCTGTTTCAGATCAGAACACAAATGGTTGTTGTTCAAGCCGAGTTTTTAAAGAGCCCCTGAGATTAGATCTCTTCCTTTATACCTCGCTTCTGCCCGTTAATCAGTGGCTGCTCCAGACTCAGGAGGGGCTGGTAAGGGCACCTGGAGATGCGTGGTCACGGCGTCATCCTCCCAACAGGTGAAACAGGGACTCTCCCTTCACTGGATGAAGAGAGTCCTGGATCACACAAGCGGATGTTTATTTCTGCCCTGGGGCAGCTCAGGAAACTGAGGCACAGAGTGATGCGGTGGCTTCCCCCGGCGCTCCGTCGGGGGGCAGAGCTGGGGTGCTTGGGCCACGCTGCTGCCCAGCCCACAGCCTCACGTCTTCCTCCGAAGCCGTGGAAATTCGAGGCTTTTGTCTGCTAGTCATTATGACAGGGTAACCATGGAAACACCCTCCGTGATGCCTCAAAATAGACAGTTATTTCTGCTTTCGACAGCACAGAGCGTGGGCTGGGCCGGGGCCCTAGAACAGGGGATCATGTCAGCCGCTGCCCCTCGTGGGACCCCTGCGATGTGCTGGCTGGAACCTGACGTCTGTTGACTGCTTGCTACACGCGGGGGGACTACTCTTCTGGGTTCACGTCCCGATAAATCCTTGGAGCCGCCGTGGGGCGGAGGCACTCTGCTCTTGATCTAGACGAGGACACCGAGCGTCCGGCTTTTCTGGGTTGCTGTTACAAACTGCCACAGATT